GGAGGAGAGGGTAGCGCCGGCGGTGTAGGGACCTCCGACCTGAGCGTCGCGGTGGCCGGTGGCGGCCGGTCGGGAAGAGGAACGAGCGACGGCGGACAGGCGGAGTCGAACGAGTTGCACCCAGGGGAGTCGGTACGCTGAGCTGGTATGGGCCGGCCCATGAGATTGGTTTGTTTCCAGAGTTTGCTTGCCTACGGTTGGATGCAAATTGGATGGCTCAGATGCTTGACTACAGAGACAAGTCGTTTTGCCAACTTCAGAGCATCTGATTCCGGAGCTAGCAGGCTCAACGTGGGTCTTGGTGCATGTCATCGGCAAACAAGGGAGTTGCTATATTTTAGAACATTTAAATGATTTTAGACGATAACTTTATACAACACATTAGTTCAACTAAAAGAATAACTCACAAGAAAATTTATAGTTTTCCTTATAGTGAAAATGACAAAATTGCATATTGTCTAAAAACAATAAAAAAAAACAAGCACGTAATGTATAGGAAAAATGACCAAATAAAGACAGCATAAATTCAGAGCAATAGGCCGGCGGGAATCATCCTTGTGGGCACTGTACTGCAGATTCTTTATCATACTCTTCATTAATCAAGGACTAGCTACTGTCCAGTACAACCAGGGATACAACAAATTAAAACACTATGTACTTGTGGTACTGTGTGGTGCTTGCTCTGCTTTAGCCACTGGTCATAAGACACGTGTAAGGTTCCATTGGACTAGCTGGTATGGCTATATATAACATTCTACAGGTACAGCACGTTGTATGTACAGAAGTGTAGAAAGCAACTATTGCACGTTGTATTAGGCACATGCATGGATACATTTTTACGAGCTATTTGGTTCACGGATTTGTAACGTCATCCGATTACGTCTGTAATAGATAACGTGATCGTGTTTGTTTCGGTCCAACTGTAATCCAATCACGCTGTAATCAGATACCGCCCTATAGAAATTTGTTACCCCTGCTATAAGAGCGTGAATCGATACCCGTGGACAGATGCCGCGCGCATGCATTCATGAACGGAATGGAATGGACGTAGGCTGGCTGCATGTCTTCTCTGCTCCAGATCTTCCAGGACCAAACGTTTAATGAACTTCATGGGCTGGTAACAGGCCGTCACAAACAGTGGCGGCCCAACACACTGATCAATAATGTAGCGAGAGCACTTATACGTAATTTGTTGTCGTTTTTTTTTTTTAAAAAAAAATCCCCATTGGCCACAGTAGGACCTGGGTGTTTCTACATTTGTGAGATGTCCAGTTTGAGAAGAACTGAAGAACAAATGTGGTAGTGGGCATCATCTTTTCGGTTCTTTTTCTATTTATGATTATGAATGGATGGGATGGACTGATGGATCGCCACTTTATCCATTAGAAATTAACAATTAGTGTAAGCATATATAATGATGCCATTCCATCAAATTTTCATGAGATAATTAAATCCATGATATGATACACCTCGTAATCTAACAGCGTGTGTTGGGTTTGCTACACCGATAGATGCGCAATGATCTGATGCTATATCGTGTTTGGTTCGCATCAGGAGATGAACCTGTCTGTCATCGAACTGCTCCGAGTAGCGCTCATGGTGACTCATTTTGTACAACTGACTCATTTCGCAGAAAAGCATCGATCGGACGACTCTGTCTGATTTGCATGTGGGGACTGACCCATACCGATGAAACAAGACATGCTATAAGTTCGGAATAGTTCCTTGAACCAACCTTAATTGATTATCAGCTGCTCGGCCGCTTCAGAACGATCAGAAATTTCCAGCCTGAACAGTGTTTTTCTCTCACACCAAACCAGCCAACAAAGAATAATCCACGATACGATACGGCCTCCCTAACAGCCGCATATCAAGATTCCTAATAAATATATTAAATCACAAGAAGGGCAACTATTGAACTTCGTTATTGTGTGCCCGGTGGAGGGCTAGGAAGAAGAACAAATGAGGCAAAAGTTGTTACAACGGAAAGGACCTAGACCATCAATATTATTTTTTTCGATCACACAAAAGGTTTGTGTATTTATATTAAGTAGACCATCGATGCCACATCTGACGACAGTTAAAAGTTCTAACTGATTTCCAATTAAAATGCGTGGACGAAAAAAAAAAACTATATAGTCCCATGTCTCAAGCCTGTACTACCTCCGGCCGGAAATTTAATTTAAACCACCACCAGCAAGTGTATAACGTCAACTAGTAGTGGCTAGAGGACTACTGAACATGACACGTACTGTAAAAGTGTACTAACGGAAAGCATCCATCCTGGTCGTTGGTCCAACGATGCGGGTATCTTTTCTCCTTTTTTTTTATATAAGACTATCTATAGCATTTCGATGCTGATGAAACTAGTAAAAAAAAAGGTTTTAGTTGTTCAGCATTGGGTGCATGAACATGCATGCTTCAGAGGGTGTGTTTTTCTTCGCTAGAGTCTCTTTTTTTTCGCGATCGCGCTAACTAGCACGTATTTCATCGAGAGGGTAGCAATACAAACACAAGGCAAGCCACGGATTACTACACCGAATGAAGAAAAGAAAGAAAGAAGAAAAGGCAAAAGAGGGAGAAAAAGGAACCGCGACTGCTCTCTCAACACCAACAGCCTACCAAACTGAGCTCTGCAACTAAAGATACATCCATGCAACGGCTGCCTACAAATGGAATAATGCCACGGTGGACAAGCACCCACCTGAAGAAGACACACGAGCATCCAAAGAACGGCGGCAAAGCATCCGCCAAATAAGACCAAGCGACCACGACGGCAAAGTATCCGCCAAATAGGGGCTACGCGCTCTCGGTAGCAAAGCATCTACCAGAGAGGGGCCCAAAGAGACATCGGCGGCAAAGCATTCGCTAGGAAACGGCCATCACACTCGGCAAAAGCCTGCCAGAGAGGAGGCTAAAGCGACATAGGCGGAAAACCATCTGCCAGAGAAACAAAGACGCCAAGCATCCGTCTTGGAAGAAACGGTAAGCGACAAAGCATCCGCTTACGAGAACCGAACATCGAACGACAGCGCCAAATCGAACCACCGTAGGACAGACCACTGCAAGGAAGAACATGAGGCACGCAGGCACAGCAAGGAACAGCTCCGGCGAGAGAGAGACGGAGAACGTATGGATGCACGGACGCAGGATGCTGCAACGATGCCTTCGAGAAGAGAAGTGACATCCACGGACGCCAGCACCTCGGACAAAACAGCGCGCAAGGACCTAAACACAAGCGGAGGGCGCAATGGAAACAACGAACGACGGCTCCATGGAGGAAGACGACGCAGGCTACGCCATCGCCGTCGGCCCAGACGGGCAGGGTTTCACCCAGTTTCCAAACGACCGTGATGCAGGTAGGCAATAGGCATCCTCGCCTATCACCTTGGCGCCTGCCGCACCCACGGTACACCACTGGGCCGTCGGGGGCGGCACCGAAGTACCAGCACCACGGGCACACCAACAGCACCCGCCATGGTGTTCCAGCAGCGCCGCCGCGCGCTCCCGGAGAAGGCCCGCCACCTCGGCCATGGAGCTCTCGCGGAAGAAGGCGACGCGCTTGTCCTCGTCCTCCGGCACCGTCCGGACAGCAGAGTCGGTGGCGCCGACGAGGTCGACGGGCAGGGTCCCGTCCAAGGCAACCCTTAAGCGACCGGAATCCGACTCCGCGGCGTAGACAGCGACCCCCGGCCGTAGCCCACAGCGCAGGGGCAGATCCGGGGCACGGGTGGCCCATCCAAACGCGTCACTGCAGCACAAACACTGCGGCAGCGAAGGAGGATCTTCCGGCTCGCGCCACGGGAATATCCTATTAGGCCTTGGCATCCCGCGCTGATGCCCTCACGTCAGCTTCCCCAAAATGCCCTCCGGCCAAAAGGAAAACAAAGGCAAGCTGATACAGGAGGTTCGTGTTTGCAATTTTGCATGTTCCTACAGTCTGATGTGAGCTCGATTTGCAATGTCTAACGATTTGAATAGGGTTTCGATAGTGTGTTTATTTGAGGTGTTTGACTGTTTCAGATAATGGCACGATCCTCAGATAATGCTTCCTTCGCACTAAAATTCATAAGTCATTTCAATTATTTTAATTAAATTGTCGTTTTGCTACGTACCTAAACACATAATATGTCTAAAAATTGTAGAAAACAAACGGAATATGTGTTATATTATGTACTAATTATTTTTCAGTTGTAGGTGATGCATGGATCAGCGGTGTGATGTATATGACGTTTCGCCAGCTTTTATGATATATTCCATTCGCATTAAATTGCAAGGCTTTTCTACATGCATAACTTTCATTATGTATGTAGACATAATATATATCCGAATATATAACAAAAGCTATGTACATAAAAAGATCAAAACAAAGCTTATAATTTTTTCTTGAATGCACCGACTTATAATTTGAAACGGAGGAAGTATCCACTGACAATTTCTAAATGCCATCGATAGGTAATTTCATCATTTTTAGTTTTGTCGGTCATGTTTTTCCAATATGCTCCTAGAAGTAGGATAAGTTTATGACGTATATGTATAAGGATGAGTGGATATGTATGTAAGTTTATGAGTCCATGTCGATTATCTATTTCACTTTTATTCTATTTTCTGTTTCTATGTGTTGTGATATAGGTTAGTTTACAATGTTTTGGCATGGGTCTGACCTAGTGACCCAAAGAAATGGCCCTTCGTCAGAAACTCGCGAAATTACAGTATCACATAATCGAATGTGCATGATCAAACTTTTTAAATCAAATGTGATCGAACTTTTTAAACAAAATCATCAGAAACAAAAAAAGAAGAAGAAAACAACTCTGAGAACTTAGGGTAATTCTGTCCATCCGTCCATAAACCCGTGTTACCTGTCCTCCCAATTTTAGGCGCGGGCCCACGTCAGCCACGCCTCCGCTCTACCACCAGCTCCTGCCTCGCAGCAGCGCGCACCGGCACCACCGTCGATCGCAGAGTAATGGGCGAAACGGGCCGCGTCGGCGGCGGGAATGGCGGCCCTAGTGTACGTCGCGTTGTCGGGCGCTCTCTCCCGGCGTCCGGTGACGAGACGCGGCGGCGGAGGAGCGCGGAGGAGGAGAGAGGCGGAGAGGTGGCCGGAGCGGGCGCCGGCGAGCTGGAGGGAGGCGGTGGCGGTTCTGTCGAGGACGGCGGGGTTCGCGTACGCCGAGACGCTCGGCAAGTGGCCGCTCGAGGACATCGCCTTCGGGATCAACCACTACATGCGCATCCAGGTGCTGTCATCGTCGTAGGAAGGCGGCGCGCGGTGCGTGTGTTCTTGCTCGGATAGAAATGTGGCTCTGTTTAACCATGATGAAATAGAAAAGATTTGAACTTAGAGTGTGTGTGTCAAACTTGCTTGATTGTTCTTGTTTCTGTCGAGAAAATAAAAGGGATCCAACAATGGAATGGAGTAACAGATGCTACCTTGGTCTGCGATGTTGCAATTTCTCCTTTTTTCTAATCATGTTATGGTAGCTCGGAATTTTTGCATGAACGTCTAGCTGCTTTTTTCAGTTATTCGAGGTTGCCAAACAGAATATGTTCTGTCAGTTAACTTATTGCATTGACAGCTCTAAAGAATTCAGGATAATTAGGATTTCTGACAAATTACCCTATCTAGCTTTGCTTCTCACTTCAATTTCTCCTATTGTAGGTAATGAACTTGTCAAATCTAATACAAGCCTTCCCAATTTTTAAATTTCAGAAAATGCAATTTTATTGCCTGATTGTCCAACTGGCAGTTTTCTGAAAGGAACTAAAAGTTTGTTATATCTCTGGTGAGACGTAAAGAATCAGTGTTAATCCATTTGGCTTGCTACTGAAAACTCATGATTTGGCCCATCTGCTTTGGTAACATTCTTTGATGCGTCATACTGAAAAGCATTCTCTCATTAGTGTTTATTTCCAGGGCAATCTGCAGCATGAGTACACTGGCAGCAATTGTGTGCCCCTGGATGGTCCTGGAGTAAGGCAGGAGCTGATTGGACTTCTCAGCTACCTCAGACTCTGCATGTTCTTCTCAAAGAAACCATATGAAGTGTTTCAAGAGTTTGGTGGTTATGGACAGAGTGATATTCTCATAAGGAAGTCGAAGTCACAAGTTTGTATTACTCTGAGCCAGCTGATGTTCTATAGCATACATTGCAAGTGGAGATACCTTAATAGAACATTGTGATTCTATTCAGTTTATGAAGCCTGCATTCACGGTTGTCCGCGATGAAAGTACCAAATCCTTCCTCCTTTTCATTCGGGGAGCGACCAGCACTAAGGATCGTCTGACTGCTGCAACTGCTGCAGAAGTTCCATTCCATCATTCAGTGTTGCAAGATGGACGTAGATCCAATTTAGTGGCTGGACATGCGCATTGTGGAAATGGTTGCTGCTCGTTGGATTTCAGATCAGGCCATTCCATGCCTAAGGAAAGCAGTCGAACAATTCCCAGACTACAGAGTTAAGGTAATTTTTACTCTTTTCTGATTTTCTGATTTGTACACCATAAAAGATGCGCGAGAGATTTGATTTATGTGGTCAAACAACACATGTTATTATGATATTAAGTTAATATCAATTATTGATTTATTTTGGTTAACCAAAAAAATAATCCCCTAGTATTGTTGTTTAGTTTACAAGGAACTCAGTGAACCTAATATGAGTAATAATGTGTCTGTTTGTCCTCTTAAGCAATCAATATTGGGAAAATTCAAATAAAAAATACTGCATATCTGAAGCTAAAGTAAATAAGTAATGCTTCGAATTTGCTTCTGGCTGACAGAACTGCACTATTTTAATCTAATTTTAGATCATTGGGCATTCAATGGGAGCTGGTATTGCTGCGATATTAACATACATGCTACGCGAGGACAATAAGTTATCATCATCCTCATGTATTGCGTTTGGACCAGGTACTGAATTCAAGTAGAAACTAAGATTTGGCTATCAAACACATCAATATCAACAAAAAAGTAAAAAAAATCATGGCATGCTAACTTAAGAACAGAAAAAGTTCACTGCCATGGATTCTTGTCAACACTTTACACTGATAGGATTTCTTAGTATTGAAATATAAAAGTAGCTAATCTAAAAGAAACAGAGTACTATGTAGGAGCAATCATAAGTTTCCACAACAAAGCTGCCACATTCCCTTTTCTTGGTATCTGTTTGGAAGATGTGCCATAAAACACCTGTTATTAGAATGCGCTCCTATGGTATTCTAACACTTTGAAGTGCTCCTGTTTAGCTGCTTGCATGACCTGGGACTTGGCTGAGTCAGGCAAAGACTTCGTTACCTCTGTAGTCAACAAAAACGACATGGTGCCATCTTTTGGCAAAGCTTCAGCAGCAAACCTTCGCACAGAGGTACCCCATGTTTGTAATATCGTAACTTGATGCTCTCCTCTCTCTCACTCACTCGAGGACAGCGGTAAGTCAGCCCTCGCTGTCCCATCATCGTTCCTCTAGCAGCATGACAATAGGTCATGTCTGTGTACTAGGATTAGATAGGAGAAGTTGAGAGTTGGAGTACTTGCCAACTACCCTTGTATTCGATAAGGTACAACTAGAGTTGTACAACAATAGAAATCAGTAATTCAGTTCGCCACATTCAGAAATGGGTCCGCCAGTCACTGGAGCTCGTGTGTGTGCTGCTCTCAACCCCTCTTCAACCTCTAGCCTAGTGTGAGGTGCAGTGTGCCGGTGAGCGGATTGCTCACCTGTAGAGAGATCTCGGCCAACAAGTGGTATCGGAGCCGAGGTGGGTGTTCGCCTCATGACGATGGAGGGTGACGGCAGTAGGGGCGGTGGCGGGAAGTCGCCACGGCAGCCCCGGGCCACCGGCGGCCACGAGGTGGTCATCCAGAGGACCGTGGGGATGTTGGTGGAGCCAATCGGCCGTCCTCACTGCACTAACTATGGCGAGTGGTCGGTGACCATGAAGGTCAAGCTCGAGCTCGACGGCTCGAAGGCGTGCTGACCAGGCACCGAGGATGAAGAGGAGGACTGCCGGCCGCCGGAGGCAATCCTAGCCGCCGTGCCTCCCGAGTACCGGGAGCCGCTAGGGGTCAAAGGACTCCACCAAGGAAGATTGGGACGCCTCAAGGCCATGCGTGTCGGGTCCGACCGGCGCAAAGAGAGGCTGGCGCAAAGCTCACAAGGGAGTACGACGACCTAGAGTTCCACGACGGGAGGCGGTGGAGGATTTTGCCTCCACCGCAGCCCTCATCACCCGCCTAGCGCGACGACGGTATCGCTATCGACGACGAAGAAGCGCTCTCCAAGTACTGCAACGTTGTGCGCTTAAATACACCCGATCGCTTTCCCAACGAGACGATGCCGGACCTATCAACCCTCACGATTGAGGATCCGGCAGAGCGCCTCAAGCGAGGCGGTGGACGATCGCGAGACAGGCGCGATCGCAACATCGCCGCTGGCAAGCTGTTGATGACCGAGGAGTGGACAGCTCGGATACGGGAGAAGCGGTCCGGGGAAGCCTCCTCCAGCCACGACGGCGATAGCAAGCGCCGTAGTAGGGCCCCGCAGCAGAAGAAGAAGGACGACGAGCTCCTGGGCCGGGACACTTGCCGCCGCTGTGGGAAGACTAGTCACTGGGCCAAGGAGTGCCTGAACCAGAAGAAGGAGAAGAAGGCTGAGGCTCACCTCGCTCAGGTAGACGACGACAAGCCAACTCTCCTGATGGCAATGTTCTGTGCGCTCCACGACATTGAGGCAGAGGAGAAAGCAGAGGAGGTGGCGGTCATGAGCAAGGGATCGATCGTAGGCCATCGACCTCGACGAGCCGGGCGGCCCAAGTCCATTTCGGATGAGTGGGCGGCGTGAGGTGGAGTAGAGGTGGTACCGACTCCAACGCCAAAGAACCACATGACCGCTCCAAGGCGGCTTTCTCCGAGCTCGACTCGCAGCAGTGCGGACGGGTTGGTGCGGTTCAGTGGACGGCTCGGGCCAAGGTGGAGATCCAAGGCTGTGGCACCATCGCCTTCCGGTGTCGAACGGCGAAGCATCGCGTACCGACGGATGTGTATCGCATTCCACAACCGAGCTCGAGCATCATCGAGATCGTGCAAATTTTGACGAGCGTGGTGCGCGAGGTCCCGATCGAGAGCGGGATCTTGAAATTCCGTGATCGGGAGCGCGCGTTTTTTGCCAAGGTAAAATGCTCCTATAATTGATTGTACCTGCTCGATTTGAAGGTGGAGCAGCCGGTGTGCCTGGTGGCACAGCACACCGAGGAGTCATGGCTATGGCATGCCTGGTTTGGACATCTCAGCTTCGACGCGCTCGGTCGGCTGGAGAAAATGGTCCAAGGGCTGCCCCACATCGAAAGCACGCAGCGAAGCCGTGGTGACAACCGCCAGCCGAGAAGCGAGGAGGCCGCCGCTCCCAAAGGTGGCTGGCATCGCACGGCGGACGCCCTCGAGATCGCCCACGGCGACCTCTATGGGCCAATCACGTCGGCCATGTACGGCGTGCTGCGGTATTTCCTTCTGCTCATGGATGGTTACAGTCGCTACATGTAGCTGCAACTCCTGACAACCAAGGATGAGGCGGCAGATGCGATCAAGAGGTTCCAGACACTCGGCGGAGGCGAGTCCGGAAGAAGTCGCGCGTACGAGGATAGATCACGGCGGCGAATTCACTTCGTGGAGTTCGCTCGCATTTACGTGGATCGTGGGTGTGGTGCGACACCACATCGCACCGCACTCACCGCAGAGAATGGCATAGTGGAGTGGCGGAACCAGACGGTGGTCGGCATGGATCGATCCATGATGAAGGCCAAGAGCATGCCGGTGGAGTTCGGGGAGATGCGGTGACCACAAAGGTGTTCATCCCTAACCACGCCCCATAAAAGCCCCAAAGGGCGAATGTAGTTCGGGAAGCTTGGTACGGGCGCAAGCCGAGCGTGTCCTTCCTTAGGACGCTTATTGCATCGCCACGCCAAGAAGACGGCCGCTCCTTACCAAGCCGAAGACAGAGCACGCCGATGGTGCCCCGGGCTACGAGTAGGGCACCAAGGCGTGTCGGCTCTACAACCCGCGGGAGGCAAGGTGGTTGTCTCGCGCGACGACGTATTCGACGAGAAGGTGATCTCGGGATGAGGATGGTCCGGCACCGGGAAGCCGGCAGCTTCAAAGCACCTTTTGTCGTTGAGCACTTAGTCATCCACGGTGGTGGAGACGCTATAGAGGAGGTGCCGACCACTCCAAAGAAGAGAGCCGAGCACTCCCGGCAAGGGCTCACCACCTGTGGTGGGGCCGAGCACTCTAGGAGTGGTGCCGAGCAGTCCCACATTGGTGCCAAGCACTCTGTGAGTGGTGCCCAAATGTCCAGAGTGGTGCCAAGCACTCCAAAGAAGGGTGCCGAGCACTCCAAAGAAGCAAGACTCACCACTCCGGCAGTAACAAGGGACTCCATTGATCGAGTTCACCTCCTCCAAGCGACATCAATGAGTTCATGGATGCCTTCCACGACAGCCGAGGAGGTGTGGTTCCGCAGGTTGGAAAACATCGTTGGCAATGTAGGGGCCTCGGGCCTGGCGAGTCGGCTGCTCGACGATCGAGAGCTACTTCTTGTCAGTGCGGAGGAGCCACCCACGTTCACGCTGCCTGAGCGCGACGCCAATTGGCGACGGGCGATGCTGGAGGAGATGAAGGCGATCGAGGAGAACGAGACTTGGGAGCTCGTTGATCCGCCTCCTAGATGCCGTCCGATTATAAGGCGGGTGTACAAGGTGAAGCGGGACGAAAAGCGGCACCATCGCTGCACAAGGCACGCCTTCATCGCCATGGCTTCGGCTCAACATGAGAGCATCGACTTCGAGGAAGTCTTTGCACCAAAGGCGCGCATGGAGTCCGTCCCACCGCTGCTGGCTCGTAGCGCTAAGGACCGCCGCATTCATCACCTAGGCTTTAAATTGGCCTTCTCAACGGCGAAGTCAAGGAGATAGCTTCATCGAGCAAGCTCCGGCTTTTGCCATCATGGGAGCAGAGCACAAGGTGCTCGATCGCGCGTCAGGCGCTCTACGGGCTACGGCATGTTTCGCGGGCGTGGAACACCAAGCTTGACGCCACGCCGGGCGCGCTGGTTCACGACAGCAATGTATCACGCGCTTACACGCCGGTGATGAGGGAAGGAGGAGCTTGTCGGCGCGTGTATGTGAACGACTTGATCGTCACCAGCTAGCGTGGCGGAGGACATCGACAACTTCAAGTGCGAGATGACGGCTCGCCGAATGAGCGATCTCGCACGCCTCCCCGCTACCTTGGTATTGAGGTGAGACAGGGGAAGGAGGCGCCACACGCTCGGTCGAGCGCCAGATGCGGCGAAGCTGTTGGAGCGGAGCGGCATGGCGGATTGCAAGCCATGTGCGACTCCTATGGAAGAGCAGCTGAAGTTGACAAAGACCAGCACCGCGGCGAAGGTAGATGCAACACTCTACCGGAGCATCGTCGGCGGGCTAGGCTATCTAGTCCACACGAGTCCGGACATTGCGTTCGCCGTGGGCTATGTTAGCCGCTTCATGGAGGATCCTAGAGAGGATCATTGGGCCACGGTGAAGCGGCCGCTGCGCTTACGTCAAGGGGACGATGGATCAGGGGATCGTCTTCCCCAAGACCGGCAGAGGAAGTGGGCTGTGGCTCACGGTCTTCAGCGATGCCGATATGGCGGGCGACATCGACGGATGGCGGAGCACCTCCGACGTGCCCGTCTTCCTCGGTCGGCCTCAATTTCATGGCTGTCGCTGAAGCAGAAGGTGGTGGCGCTGTCTACGTGCAAGGCAGAGTACGTGGCGGCAGCCACAGCGACGTGCCAAGTTGTATGGCTGCGCCGGCTGCTGGGCGAGCTGACCGGCGAGGAAGCTCATCCGCCAGCACTGATGGTGGACAACCAGCCCGCCCTCGCGCTCACCAAGAACCCGGTCCTCCACGACCGGAACAAGCACATCGACATCAAGTTCTACTTCCTCAGGGACTGTGTCGATGGAGGGCAGATCGTCATCGAGTTCGTCGAAACTGGTCGGCAACTCGCTGATATCCTCACCCAGTCACTCGGACGTCTTCGGTTCACGGAGCTGAGGAGGATGATTGGCATGGATGAGGTCAAGGCTTCGGGTTAGCAGCAGAGTTAGGGGAAGAATTGTAATACATAACTTGCTGCTCTCCCTCTCTCACGTGTGGATAGCAAAAGTCAGCCCTGTTGTCCCATCATTGTTCCTGTAGCAGCATGGCAATAGGTCATGTCTGTGTACTAGGATTAGATAGGAGTAGTTGGGGGGTTGGAGTACTTGCCAACTACCCTTGTACCTGGCAAGGTACAGCTAGAGTTGTACATATACTCATGCATAACAATAGAAATCAGTAGTTCAGTTCGCTACATTCAGGAAACAGATCCGACCAGCGCTGGAGCTCGTGTGTGTGTTGTTCTCAACCCCTCTTCAACCTCTAGCCTAGTGTGAGTGTGCCGGTGAGTGGATTGCTCACCTATGCAGAGAGATCTCGAGACAACAATGTTTACTGAGTTTCAAGTAGTAGTGACGTCTGGAACTATGAAACACATTTTCTCTCATTAATTAATAGCCTTTGAATTGTCTTAAAATCTTCTGCAGGTTATGGCATCTTCATGGGCTCCAGACCTCCAAGAACAAATTCAGCAAACAAGAATCTTGGGTTTTGTAAATAGCTCTGTGAATTTCATGCGATCCCACATTCCCTTTGTATCCAACACAGGGTCTGACAACACTCCTATGGTAAACCCAAAGCACCACGTTCTTTGAAGAAAATAATTGTATTACTGTCTTAGAGTACTGATGTGGCTACTCTCCAAAAAAACATTCTTTGATGTTTTTATTTGTAATTCACTGAACTGATTCCTCATGCCATGCCAGGATGAGTTGAACCTTTCGGCAAATGTGCGTGCCGCTGTGCAGCAGCACTCTTCACTGTCCTGCTGGTCATCTGTCGCTGTTAATACGCAATTTCTGGAGGCTCTGGTGAACCCCACTCAGGGCATTCCAGCATTGATGCCTGCATACAGAGGAACCGAGCAAAACACTGAAAAGCCAACAATTGCAAGAGAACCAGCCTCATGCTTTCCTGGAGAACTCAACCGTCAGAAATCAGATTCAGTGGAGACTGACCCAGAGGAGAAAGCAACAGACCAAGAACACATGGAGCAGCTTCTGAAGGCCTTGCGATCATCGCGAATGGTCTCCCAGGAGCCTCACGAGCTGTACCCTCCGGGCAGAATCATGCACATGGTTGAGCTGCCAGCACCAGAAGGGCTGAGCACCGGCGAGCAATGCCACCAGCATGAGGTAGTTGCCATCTATGAGACCCCTCGCAGCATGTATGGCAAGATCAGGCTGGCGAGAACCATGATCAGAGACCATTACATGCCGAGGTACATCGAGACGATGGAGATGCTGATCGACAAGCTTGCAGAGGATGAGGATGACACTGACAACCGGTTGGACTAACTGATGAACCCCCCAAAAAACAGAAAGGAAGAAGATTGATAGGCAGTATTGATAGTATAGATAACTTGAACTTATGACTTCAGGCTAGAATCCAGATTAGTCCAGATTGTATCGTCAGCCATTGCAGGAAGAGCAGAAACATCAGCGTTTGTTGCTGAGGCTTGAAGGAACGACTACTGTTATGTTTGGCTGTGAATTAGCAGTACTGCAAGATTACATTTTAGAAGAAAGAATTCAGTGAACAAATGTGATTCTTGCTTGCTGTTTGGTTGTCCCTGATGTTTGTAAATAAGCAGGGGTAATATTTTAATTATTAGTTGCGATTATTAGTTGTGATTCCAACCAGGGCGTTGGTTGTAAATATGAGAGGCTATATGCAGTTAAAATAAATATGATCCAGTTTAGGGATCTAATTAGAAAATTTTGGGGACTGTTTACCAATGTTTTCAGGACGGCTAGTCGAGCCTGGACGCCTGAGGACCGTCCAGGACGATTAATCGACCCTGGACGAGTCCCCTGGTCGTCCCCTACATATGGGGACTGATATATACCATACATATATATATATATATATATATATATATATTATATAGTTATATATACAGTATAAAATATATACCATATATATATATACACACACTAGTATACTACATGTTCTAGGCTCTACTGCTCTAGATAGATAGGTCAGCTGGCCACTTATCTGGCTGCTGCAGAGCCCTTTCTTGTCTTGTTGGCTGCTGCTGCCAAACTGAAATTATAGAAAAATAAAGCACATTAACAAAGGCAGAGAAAGAGAGCATAAGCTTCAAGCACAGGTAGAGCATCAAGCTTGAACGAGGAGGTGATGACTGATGATTGACCTGAGGAGGAGGAACTCATCTTCGTCGTGCAGTCCTCCTACCTTGCACAGTTGGACCTGTGCACCCGCTGGATCTACAGGCCTGCAGCCGCAAGGAAGAGGGAGGGCAGCTGGAAGGGAGGGAGGAGAGGGAGCAGCTGGGAACTGGAAGGGAGGAGAGGAGAGGGAGCTACATAACTGCAGCAATGGAGGTGGCTGCTGCTGCTGGACGGGAGAGGTGAGAGGAGTGAGTGTGTTCTGCTGACTTCTAAGTGAGTGAGAGGCTGAGGGAGTGAGGGGTAGGAAAGAAGAGAAACCCTATTGGGCTTGGGCCAAAATATAAGACAACTAGATAGGCTCAACTCTGAGATGCAGCCCACTCTCTGGCTGGACACCCACACAGCCTGGACGGACGATTAATCGCGACTGGACGACGACTAATCAGACGTCCAATTTCCTGGACGGTCTGGCCGAGTCGAAGGCCCTGGTCGAGTAGCTCCAACCGTCCAGGACGATTAGTCGCGATTAATCGAACGTCTTGAAAACATTGCTGTTTGCAAATATTCAGGCAAGAAATGGACCAAAATGGGGGGTAAACTTTGAATTCAGATGCAGGTGATCTTACAAAGTTCGGGCCAGAAATGCCAGTTACATAGACGAGTTCCCAAAATGGACAGTCATCATAATGCGGGAACTCTGAAAGTTTGAACACTGCATTGAAGGACAGGTTACAGACACCATCAGTCTCAGCTGGGCACTGCTGCTGACCAGCGTGTTCCTCTGATCTCAAGAATGCCTATCTCCTTGATTTGCCAGGCCAGTTCAAGCTCATCCCTCGTAGACAAGCGGCTTGTCAACCCAGCGGACACGGCAGCCACAAGCCAGCAGCATCTGAAGCAGCTCGGTGGAGAGCACAGACCTCAACCCACCCAGCAGCTTCAGCTTCTTCAGCCTCCCACACGCCGCTCGCAGCGCCATCTCAAACCCTTCAATGGAGACCCAGGAGAGGTGAACCATCTTCACGTCCTGGAGGCACCTCAGTGAGCCCAGCAGATGGCACAGGCCCAGGCCAGTGACTTGACAGTAGGTGATAGTAAGCTGCAAACAAACCAGACAGCAACCTGTAATGTCCCTGATGCTTCACAAATTACAAAAGGAGAAGATGAAGTCGTTGAGTTCTTAACTTGTCTAAGGTTCTGGGAGTATCTTGAAAGAGCCCACAGGCCAGCATCATCCACAGAGTAACAGCGTTTAAGGTCCAGTTCTATCAGGCTAGTGCAACCAAGGGCGATGGAGGTGATCCCAATGCCCGTGATGCGCACGAGGCATCTCAACTCCAGGTTTGTGAGTTCTTCCAGAGCGCTTACATGCTTCAAACCAGCATCGGTGATTTGGGTGCAATAGCATAAGTTTAGCATCCTGATCTTCTTGCAGCCACTAGCTACAGCTGCCAGCCCATCATCAGTAATAGCACTACAACTGTGGGAAAGATAAACAAGTGTGCTTTAGTTTAGAGACCAATGATTAATCAATAAATAATTTCTAAAGCATAAATATAAATATTGATTACCGGTATAGATCAAGTTCCACAAGCTTTCCACAGTTTGAACTAATATAAACAAGGCCTTCATCAGAAATACTAGAGCAGAGGCCAAGCTTCAAGATCAGCAGTTCCGAGCAACTTGCCAAGTGCTGCAAAGCTGAAAATGTGGGATTTCAAATGATGAGCTCAAATTTAGGAATGAACTTTTCCTATAAAAAAATATGGCACAGCTACTTTTCAGTTACCTGCATCATTAATACGACAGTCAGTGAGGTCAACCTCCTTAAGGTGGGAACAGAGGGTTGCGATTGGCTCTAGTCCCTTCTCACTTATAAAAGGGCAGGATTCCAGTCGAAGGCATTCAATCTTTCTACAGTTCTCGGCAATTGCAGCAAGGGCACCATTTGTAAGAAGATGGCAGCATGTCACGTCGATAGTCCTTAAGTCACAGCAATGAGCAACTAGCGAAACAATACCATCATCTGTAACGCCATTGCATTTGCTAAGCCCAATCTCAACCAAATTCTTGCAGGTAGAACCAATTGCCTGAAGATTTGAGGCAAAGATTTCAAGGCCATCGAGTCTTAAAACAGTCAAAGTTTCGCCTATTGTTGATAATTTGCTCAGAACACAAGTCTCTATCTCCTGCAAGTGCGACCGCAGAAGGTGAACCACCATTGGAAATGCCAATTTTACTGCTTAAACGAAATCATGGTCTCAACGATTTGTTCTCGAAAGGCAAAGAGAAAAGGAACTCTACTCACATGCAAACTGTGTGCAGCATTTATTTTTCGGAGAAATCTTTGACTGTCTATGAGTGAAGCTAAGCCCAGAGAAGACACATGGTGACACCTCGATACATCAATACTCTAAAAAAACAGGTGAAATTGAAAATCCAGTAAGCACATAGGCACAGAGGTAACAAAAGGAAAGCTGGAAGCACATATTAAAGTATGAAGTTCATACAAGATCAGCATCCTTGCAAGGTGTTATACCTGCAGCGAGTTGCACATACTTAGCATTTGTAGGCCATCATCATCTATAAACAAGCAGCTGACCATTGCTATGTCCTCTAGCTTCTCAAGAGTGGAGACTGATCTAAGGGATTCATTGGTCACCTGGGAAACAAGACATAAGAAATTTGAGCATTCTTAGATACAAACAAGAAACAATCAGAACCGTCGAGCCGCATTAGGTAAATACTATATATATTGTAGGTAGATAGCAGGTGTACATATGCCATGAATTCAAATGGGCGAGTGAACCATACCCTTGTAAGTGAAATTTAGTCTACATATATACCAAATTTCTTGACAGAACCTAAGTACATTTAACGAAATTCTAATGGACTTTAATTCTCTGACATCTGGAGCCAAATTAATAGAAAGAATTGACCAACCAACCAATATCAAGGTGCTAATTACGCTGTCTCAAGATAAAACATTCTAGGTTATTGTTGTTGCTGTAAGAAACAACCAATGTTTAATCAGACACTTTACCAGCAAGAAAATGCAGGAAAGCTGAGAATGCATCAAATATTCGTGAGGGAACCAGGCAACCAGCCCAAACACTAAAACCCAAGTGTATTCAAATGGGTGAGTGAAGCATAGCCTTGTAAGTGAAATTCAGTCTACTTATGCACCAAATTTGTTGACAGAACCCAAGTACATTCAACGAAATTCTAATGGACTTTAATTCTCTGACATCTGGAGTCAAAATTAATAGAAAGAATTGACCAACCAACCAATATCAAGGTGCTAAGAAATTCAGATCACAGAGCTTCTACTTATGCTGTCTCAAGATAAAATATTCTTGGTTATTGTTGTTGTTGTAAGAAGCCCAAACACTAAGAAAAAAAAAGAATTTTGAATGGAAAACAGCCTCCTATAAACAATTTCTAATGGAAACGTTGCACACTCGCTGTACCCAGTCCACACATCATTGAACGCTACGAATTCTGGAGAAGTCAGGTGGTCAGGTCACAAGCAGTACCAATTGATTAAATGAGAGCAATCTCAGTTTTTTTCTCAGTCCTACTGACACTAATAACTAAATTTGAGATTGAGGCGCTACCTTGAGGTAGGAGATGTCGACGCTGCGCAGTTCGGGGCACTTCTTGGCGAGCAGCTTGACGCCGATGTCGGAGATCTCGCGGCACCACTTGACGCTGAGCCTCTGGAGCCCGGGGCAGCCGACGGCGACCTTGGCGAGCCCGACGTCGGTGATGCCGAGGCACTTGTCCATGACGAGCTCCCTGAGCCCGGCCGCGGCGAGGGCGGCCATCTCCCTGTCCCCGGCGGCGACGCAGTGGGAGAGGTCGACGGCCTCGAGCCTCGGGCACGCCGCCACGAGCGCCTCCAGGCCGCGCCACCCGACGCCGCTGGCCCGCGCGAGCCGCACCTGGCGGACGGGCAGCAGCCGGCGTCTCGGCGGAGGAGCCGGGGACGGGCAGCGCCGCGGCGAGGGAGGCGTCGTCGAGGCCCGCGCACGCGGAGAGGTCGAGCGAGGACAGCGCCGGGAACGCGCGCAGCGCCCGCGGGAGCGCCTCCCGGCGGAGCACCCGCGCGGCGCGGCGGGACGCGGCCTCGGCGCGCGCGAAGGCGCGGCTGGCGAGGCGGCACGACTTGCGGTCCCGCGGGTCGCGGACGCCCGCCAGCGCGTGGGCGAGTAGGTCCAGCGAGAGGGACTCCACGCCTGCGCCGGCGCTGGACCCGGAGTCGTGGCCCATCGCGCTGGTGCGCTGGGCGAGATCCGATGGATCCCGCGGGTGGACGGTGGCGAGTGCGGCGGGAAGCTCGAGCGACGGTTCGCTAGCTAGCTCGCTGGCTGGCGAGGAGAGGATTGGTTGTGTTGGGACGAGAGCAAGGCGAAGACTGCGGCGAGTGGGCGTTGGCCAGCGGCGGCGGGGGTGAAGAATGGTTGGTTGCGGTGGTGGCGGCGCGGCGAGGGTGGGTGGTGGGTGGAGAGAGAATGGGAGGAGGGGAGCACAGGAGTTGTTTATTAATGGTGGTGGAAGCAGGAAGCAGGAAGTGTCACTGTGGTAACTGACAGATGGAACCTGGTGTCGTGGATGACGTTGTCTGTGTGGTTCTCGCGGACAGGTCCCTGCGAACTTGTGATTTTGCAACGATGGGCGTCCTAGTGTACTACACTAGTACTAGTACTAGTACAATGCTGTGTTGCAGTGCAGATCTCAGCTAAAATCGGATACAGTCACAATCAGTGTATGCCTTTGGAAATAGAGAGATCTCCAGCATATATACCGGTGAAAACTCGGTTGTTGTGCTGCTTTCCTCCAAACATGTATAAGAAAAAAATGATTGAGCAAGGAAAAGGGCTGATAGTTTCTGTGGCTGATTCTGTGAGAGAAAAAACACTGTTCTATAGTTAAAAAGTTCAAACGAACAAGGCCAGTACATATACTCTTTTCGTCCTAAAATATACGGTATTGACTGAAGCATTTAAAATGTATTCTAAATTGTAAAATATCCTACCAGGAATGGTAACAGGAACCATTATTTCTACCAGAAATGCTTGTATAATTTATATAGTTAAACCCTCACAAGAAACTATTTCTACCGGGAACAGCCCTCGCCGAACGAGGCCTAAGACTATGTTTTCTCCAGGGGCGGAAGCTTCCATATAGGATTCCATGTGACTCTTTCGTTCACCCGGTTTTTCTCTCACTGCAAGAGGGCCCGCCCCACATGTCATGGTCGCCGGCATCACGGTCCGCCCGTGGGGTCCCACAAAAGGAGCCTGGCCGGGCGTACCTGTGCGGCCTCCTGCTGGTGGCGGTCGGTACGGACTTCTCAATCTCAATCTTAACGAAAAGAAAAAGGGAAAAGAGTCAACGCATGACGTGTCCCCACGACGACGGCCAGATCCAATAGGAAAGTTCAAGGTGGTTCGTTCAAGACGTAGGGAACGTGGTAATTTCGCCTTTTGACAATTTTATTGGAGGTTGAATTCAATTGTATCTCCGTTATTTATGACAAAGTGTGCATCTATACTTTCCGAGCCAGAGACTGTAGTCCTGTAAATGGTTGGAGCCAAATAAAATAAAATAAAAATGTACGAGAGCAATATAGTAGTTTGATCTTTTCATTTCATGTAGTTTTCTATTGGGACCATCGTTTTTAATATGCAACCAACACATGATATTGTCAACTTGCTTGGTTATTGGTTAAAGATTTTTGCTCTATTATTTAGAAACCAAGTAATAGGAGTGGGAATGGTCGCAATGTGCTTGGCTTTATAGTTGAGTACAAATGATGTTGCAGTTAATTGGTGTAAGTACTTTTGGGTTGTAATGAACTGCTACGCTGATTCAATTCGCTTGTGGTTAAGGGAGACCGGAATACTTTTTATCTCTGAATCTAAAAAAATATGTATGTATGTCCATCGGTCGTTAGTTTACTGATGATGAGTTCATGAAACTTGACTCGTATATATGTCTATATATATCTGATCTAGGTCAAGCTTTGAAAACTTTGATTTGTACTACTGATAGCATTTAAAATATTTAGTTTGAACAATAAAGTACTTACACCAATAATATACTGATAGCATTTGAAAACTTGGCTTTATAGTTGAGTACAAACATTAGTCTTAATAAGTAGTCTAATAAAAATTTGTATTTGTTTATTCGTTTTGTATACTCCTATGTTATTATAATATAAAAATCATAGAATCGATTGTAGGATATTGTTCCTATTTGAAGTTATATGAGGTATAACTATTTTTTTTCATCTTAACCACACAACCAAACATATAGATTGGACCATCCAAATATCCAATCGAACGCCTAATGTGGATGACCTTAACCAATCACACGATTCCATCCAACCTTGCGCTGCACCAAACGCACGGAACCGGTAAAAGGAAACCAACGAGAGATAATTCCCTGTGCGCCATTATAAAAGATGCATCTTCCTTCTCAGCCACTGGAAAAATTCATCTTCCTTCTCAACCACCGGTTTGGTTTTTTCGACCCCTATACGCCACTGCTGTCAAAACGGCAGCTAATTGTAGCGTGAAATGTTCCTTTTGCCCCTCTTACAGGTGGGCCCCACACATCATCTTCTTTCTCATCTTCTAGCCTCTCCACCCGCCGCCGAGCGCCCCCTCGTCGGCCCGACATTGCTACTCCGCGCCTCCGCCTCCAAGCGCTCCTCACCGGCCCGGCTCTCGACACCTTCCCGCCCCTCCGCGTGGCCGCCCCAGCCCCGCCCTCCCCTTCTTGTCCCGCTGCTCCTCGCCGTTGCCCCCGCGCAGGAGGGCGTGAGTGCCGGAGCGCACGGCCTGCTCAGCGGAGCCATGGGGCGGCGAGTGTGAACCCCCCCCCGCAGTCGCCAGGAGGGCGAGGTGGTGGCCGCCATTGAAAGCTCTAGTTTGGTTTTGGTGAATTGATGAAACCCTAAGTGCTAACCTAGTTTATCAAGTGATCATGATATATGTAGCACACTCCAAGTGGTGAAGCAAATAAAGATCATAACATGATGATGGTGATGCCATGGTGATGATCAAGTGCTCGGACTTGGAAAGAAGAAAGAGAAAAACAAAAAAACAAAAGGCTCAAGGCAAAGGTATAAATTGTAGGAGTCATTTTGTTTTGGTGATCAAGACACTTAGTGAGTGTGATCACATTTAGGATCGATAGCCGTATTATTAAGAGAGGTGAAACTCGTATCGGGATGCGGTTATCAAAGTGTCACTAGATGCCCTAACTCATTGCATATGCATTTAGGATCTAGTGGAGTGCTAACACCCTTGAAAATGTTTGTGAAAATATGCTAACACATGTGTACAAGGTGATACACTTGGTGGTTGGCACATTTGATCAAGGGTGGTGAAGTTTGGGAGCAAGGGTAAGAAACTCCACCGGCGGAGTGTCCGCCCGTAGAGTGCGAACAGTCTGACGGTGCCACCGGCGCCCTAGATAGAAAAGACGGAGGTCACTAGAAGTGATCGAACGCTGGCCTCGGTTGGACCAGCGCGTCCGGTTAGGTGTAACAGCGAAGACGCTGGCGTCGATCAAATGACCGGACGCTGGGTCGCTCTGCGACCGGACGCTGGCAGGGTGCGTCTGGTCAGTGCTGACGTATGCTGACGTAAGGCGCACAGAGGAGACGTTGAGTGACCGGACGCTGGGTGAGTCCGGTCGTGAAAATTCGCATTTATAACCTTACTGGAAACGACCAGACGCTGAGATCCAGCGTCCGGTCACTTTCTAACTGACGCGTCCGGTCATCACTTGACCGTTGAAATTGGGCGATCGGCGTTTGAAGCCGATGACACGTGGCGCACATCGCACGACTGAACGCTGAGGTCCAGCGTCCGGTCAATATGATCGGAGCGTCCGCTTGGCCCGTGTGGCTCTATTTCGTGGGGGCTTCTATTTAAGCCCCATGGCCGGCTCAAGCTCAATCTCTTGGTCATTTGCATTGATATAGCAACCTTGTGAGCTTAGCCAAAGCCGTCCCACTCATCTCCATCATTGATTCATCATCTTTGTGAGATTGGGAGAGAATCCAAGTGCATTGCTTGAGTGTGTGCATCTAGAGGCACTTGGTGTTCGTGTTTCGCTGCGGGATTCGCTTGTTACTCTTGGTGGTTGCTGCCACCTAGATGGCTTGGAGCAGCGAGGATCGTCGAGCGGAGGGTGGTGATTGTCTCCGGCTCCGATCGTGGTGATTGTGAGGGGTTCTTGACCTTTCCCCGGCGGAGCGCCAAAAGGTACTCTAGTGTATTGCTCGTGGCTTGTGTGATCCTCATCTTGTGTTGGTTGTGCGGCACCCTATTGAGGGTTTAGCGTGTGAAGCCAATTAGCGCGTGAACCTCCAAGTGAGTGAATCGCCACAACGAGGACTAGCTTGCCGGCAAGCAAGTGAACCTCGGTAAAAAAATCATTGTGTTCATCATTGATTCCGAGGTGATTGGTCTTCATTGTTATTCATTCTTGTGATTGATTGGTTCATTCATCTACACGGCGGTATAACTTTCTTGATCACTCTCTTTACATTATCGCAAACTAGTTGTCAAGGTTTTTAGTGTAGTTAGTTGTGAGAGCTTGCTTGGTTGGTTGGTGTGGCTCTTTAGTTAGCTTTTGAGAGAACACTAACATAGGGTAGTGTTATAGCTATTGTGTGAATAGATACTATCTAAACTAGAATTGTGGTAGGTGGCTTGCATTTTGAGTAGACTAGCACAACATTTGTTTCGCCTCTTAATTGTCTAACCGTGTTGTTAAGAGTTGTTGTAGAAATTTTTATTAGGCTATTCACCCCCCTCTAGCTATTAGGACATTTCAGCCGTTGCCCCTGCGTAGGAGGAACGGACGGCGCGGTCGAGATCCATGGCGGGCAAGAGGGCATGCTACCGAGCTCTAAGAGCGGATGATGGCGCTGGGCAGCTCGATAGCTGCCGGCGGCGCAGCCGTCGTAGCCCCTGCCTCGCTGCCGCACTAGACCTGCTCGCTGAGGTCGCTCGAGGTGAGTTCCGCCACCTGCTCGCCGTGGGTGCCTCCGCTCACCGCCGAGGACCTCTAGGCGTGTGCAGGCACCGCCGCCGCCTCCCACAAGAGCGCGGGGCACCGCCGCTGTCGATGGCCTGGAGTGGTGGTGACTGGCGGCGCAGCCGAGCAGACTATGGTGCAAGACAGCAAGAGGAAAGGATGGAGAAGATGACACGTGGGGCCCATCAGAAGATGGGCAAAATGGGCATTTT